AAGATTTTATTTATTTATTTGACAGGGAGATAGAGAGAGAGAGCACAAGCAGGGGGAGCGGCAGGCAGAGGGAGAGGGAGAAGCAGGCTCCCCACCGAGCAGGGAGCCGGACATGGGGCTCGATCCCAGGACCCTGGGATCATGACCTGAGCCGAAGGCAGATGCTTAACCGACAGCCAGCCAGGTACCCCAGACATTTCTAATATTTTAATTGGATTATTATTATTATTGGGTATTGAGTTGTAAAAGTTCTTTATATACTTGGCATATTAAATATTTTGCAATTTTTGTTTGATGGTTGTATGTTTTGGTATGGAGGAGGGACATTTGCTTCTCTTTTACTAAGCTGGAATAGAGAAAAATTTAGTTAGTTAAATTTTTATATACTCAGCTAGAAAGTCCTTAAAATATATAAAACACACAGTAACAATTTACTCATCAATCTGATAACCAAGAAAAAGAAATTGTTCATTTCTATGTCACTGACATAAAAGAGAAAGGTCAAGGGGAGAACAATGGAAATTAAATACTGATTATTGAAAGAGATACTGCTCACTGATAAATCCCAATCAAGGTTTCCACACCCTGAACTATATCTGACAGCTTCCTCATTTAAATGTTAAATGTAAGTTTTATTTACATTTACATATTGACAGATTTGAGATTGACAGATTTGAAACTTGGAACATTTTTCATTGTGGTTATTTTGAGTGTTTCCTGAGAGAAGCCGAGCCTTGTTCACAACAGGCCACTCATCTTTACCAGTTTCTTTTTTTTTTTTTTAAAGATTTTTTATTTATTTATTTGACACAGAGAGAGATAGCTAGAGAGGGAACACAAGCAGGGGAAGTGGGAGAGGGAGAAGTAGGCTCCTGGCTGAGCAGGGAGCCCGATGCGGGGCTCGATCCCAGGTACTCTGGTTTCTCTTCAGATCGCATAAATCTTTCGCCTTTTACCAGTTTCTTTTTAAAACTATAATACAGTTAATCTTGTTAGAAAAATTTGTCATAGTCATTTGTATCTCCCAGACGATGAGAAAAAGAGCCGACTTTGAATATCACTTGTTTCTATGTTGAGTATCACTTGTATTATCTATGTTTCAGTTAGAATCTTCTGGAAAGAAATCCTTATTTAAAAATCACGTTAAGGGGCGCCTGGGTGGAGGGCGCCTGGGTGGCTCAGTCGGTTAAGCAACTGCCTTCGGCTCTGGTCATGATCCCAGGGTCCTGGGATCGAGCCCCACATAGGGCTCCCTGCTC